CATAAATTTACTGCGGTAATATTATTCAATTATTTACATTGTTTGGTTTTGTCCATGATTTTGTTTGTATGTAAATAACTCCAGGGTATTATTCAGAAGCTGGTTTTTAGTCTATTTTTTTCATTTAATTAATTAAAAATTCAATAAAAAAAAAGCAAACAATTTGATGGACCACCTGTACTGTAGCATTATGCCTTTATACACTGTAATTTTACTACTATTTTATACTACCAACCAAAACACGGTTATGCAAGCACATTTGCTCGTTGATATACCTGTACCAGTCGACTTTGGTACATAATCACTCTCGTTTAAATCTATTTTGGCATTTTATGTATCTTTAATTGAGTAATAAAGAAACATCCTAACGTCTTCAAAACATTCTTATTTACCTACAGTTTAAGTAAAATTTCACTCTATTGCAGTATCTTCTACTACATCTTATTTAGTTACATATTTTACCTAAATTCTTGATCACAAGCACTACAATAGTATTAATTTTAATACATAACTTTATTTACTAACATATTTTTATTAAAAATATTGTTTTACTTTAACCCTAATAAAATACTCTATTCTTACTATAAGTTCAGTTACCTGTGTGTGTGTCTGTGGTTTTAATGTTCGATAATGTATTGACTGTGGTTTCGCTATGAAATTTGATAACACGTTGTGGTAATATAAATAACAAAAACCTTTACAGGTAAGACGTTTTATACAATTGATACTCCGGCACATCACTTTGCTTTTGCTTTAGATGAAAAAAAAAATGTAACTCAAGTAATCAAAATGTTTCATACATTGCGCCATTTTATATTATTATAAAAAAGAAAAAACAGATGCCGAAATAATATGGACAATAGATAGAAAATATCAAATTCCAATTTCAAAAATCTGGAAATTTCTAGATTGGTGAATGATATTTTACTTTTATACACTACTATAACTATTTATTTCGTGAGATCTTACCGTACTAAACCTGATATTTTTTCAAAACTCTAAGAACGCCAGATCAAAATTCCTAGATAGATATCTGGCTCTGATTGTTTAGAGTATCCTCAGTCAGTCTGTCAAGCAGCGAGTTAGTAATAACACAAACTTTTATTTAACAGTTATTACAATTGTGTCCTTGATTAATTTGTAACCTTTATAAATGTTAATGTTGATATATTGTACATGGATGTAATAGACATTGAGTTGATAGTAATTGCTGGTAAATGGCATTTAGTAGACATCAATTTCATTTAGTAATATCTCCAAACTATTACCATAAATTAATATGTTGCGTTTCCAATTATTTATTACAACATAAAAGAAGTGAAGATTACCAAACACATATAAAAATATGTATGATATAAAATTCTCTTTATTACATTTTTCATACGGAAGTTCAATAATTGTGGCTAAAAATTAAACCGCATAACTAAGTTTGTTTTGGAGGTTTTTTTTTTTAATAATTTCTCAAACACTGTGCTAGTTAAAAACATTGTTTTATTTTATGTTTATTATTTGTAATTATTTCAGATTTTTGGTTTTACAAGCTTCGGAGATAAATAAGGAGATTCTTTTTTCCATATTTTTACATTTCACAATAAATAAAAATGAGTTTTTTAAATGTACAAATAAGACTCTTTCATATAATATCTTGCTTAAATAATTAGGTCAATTTTGAAATTTTGAACATTGTCAGTAAGTAAGAATTTACTTCTAAAAATAAAAAGCGAAGTAATAAGTTACATCCTTCACACGCACTTGAACATTCCTTTTTGCTGTTTCTCCGTGCTAAAATGACCCTTAACTTACATCAGAGTTATCAGTAATCACCTAGCTATATCAGTGTAACGTTTTCTAGGCAGTTCAATGTTACGAGTGTGCGCGCATACACTAACGATCGCCAAATGAGGTGCATGCAGTTGCATAAGTGATGCGCCCTTACGTAATCACTCTTCCTTAGTGATGTGCCGACATCTATATTTGATTGAACATCTTTTAAATCTACCGATATTATATTAAGGTGGAGGAGATTGCTTAACAATAAGACCGCCCTTTGTACTACATTATAGTTGCAAATTCTTTAACGAGTCTATAATAATTATGTAATATTGGTGCAATAAAGTGTTAAATAAATAAATAAATAACTATAATATAAGTAGGTACGTAGTTCCTAGTTAGCATTATTTTTTACATTTATTATAGTTATAATGAATTTTGGCTATACAATATGTATAGTCAAATTTTTATAGAGATGTTTAACTTTTTTGTGTCAGATATGTCGATAAATTGCTCTTGTTACAAGCTATAAATTTTATAGTCTAATTTCTATGATTGTGCATTGATTAGTTAGTCGTTATTTCTTTGAGATGAAATGTATTTTATTTCACTTTAAATTACATTTACTACAGGAGGTGGGAACCTCATATTAAATGTAAACACTATTCGTATCGTAAAATTCTAATTTTCAATTAGATAAATCGCGTGAGAAAAGTGTCCGCTTTACTTGTAGATACCGAGTATAGACAGAGTAGATCATCACTAATGAACGTGGTCTTCTGTATGCAAAATTGCATCGACTCCCTTGGTTCAATCAGTCACGTCTGCAGAGCAGAGTAGAAATATTTGATGTCTGGAATCAGTCAATTCTGATTCAGAACACGTTTATCGTATTAACTTTAATCACATCCTTCATTAACGACTCTGTCTTTAATTGACATCTAACTCAGTAGTATTTATGGACATCCCTGTGATTGAACAAAAATTAAATACTATTAATTTTGTTTTAAATAGTTACGGTCTACCTAATGTTATTTATCTAAATAAATTTGTTATTATCCGGAATCTTTATAAGAAATATAACTAAGTAATTTTTTCCGTTTATTCATCTTTTACAGGTTTTTTTTATACAACTTAGAATGGTAAACAAGCTCACGGTCCACCTGATGGAAAGTGGTAACCGTTGCCTATAGACATGAGCAGTATCATGGACATAACAGAGTATACTGTTGCGCTCATGATAACCCCAATGCGTTGCCATTCCTGAGGACTCAGATGTTACTCCTCTGTACCCTGTAAATTCACGTAAAAAGGTTGTCTGTAAGAGATTGCTTTTAGCCATTAGGCTGCCTTTTGTATATGCACATTTTGTATAAATACTCCTTGTATACATATCTTTTGTACGCAATGAAGAATTTATTATTTTATTTTATTAAAAAGAATAGCTAGTTTGTATTTATTCAATGTCAAGTGAGCATCTAACTGGATACAATATAATATTACTGGGGGGAAGGGATTGTTAGCAATGGAGTTTGACAGTCCCATTGCTAGCAATTGCCGCGTGGTTCCCCCTGGAAACAATCGTGAACAATTCTCGTTGCATTCGTCACGTTGGGCTAACTGACCTGTTTTATCCTCGTCTATCATCCTTCACTGGTGCCCTATCAGCATATACCGATAGCGCGGGTGGGGTCACTATTTTATTATCACCTATAATAAATATAATATTACTAGGACGACTAGGCCAGCAACATTTTGTTTAGCGATTTCAGTGGAATTATTTCTGGCTACATGTCTGTCTGCGGTTGACCAAATGTTTTAAACGTGACAAAACAAATTTCAATTTGCATATCAACCCTATCTGAGGTTAGTCAAATATTGAAAATTAATTAAATTGAATACATTTTGGATATCTCTTTATATTTATTTATTTTATTTACTTTTTTTTGTTATTATTAAATTTGTATAATCAGAGCACTAGTCACATCTAAATAGTTGCATATTATCCTGAATTGTATTAATATAAATTGTAAAATTACTTCCAAATCAATAATCCCACATCCTTCATCTTCTACTAGGGTTATCTTACCTGAACATACAAGATACCTATGGATCTATTAAAAGGTTTCGGAAGCAGCTGCCTTTCTGGACACAGGTGTACTTGCGATTATTCCCCTATGATCGCGGTTATTCCGATGCGCTTCTTTCAAGCCGGATGTTCCCACGCATAACGCACCACTGTAATATCGACTCAATATTCTGTTTCTACATTTGCCAAATTCAAACTTTTTTCAATTAATATCTTGTAAACAAATTACCAATTATTTCAAATATGTCAATTATATAAGTAATTAGTATTGTCAACAGATAATGCTATAATTATTATAATAATAATATTTATTATAAATTTTTTTATAATTTATGATATTATTTATTAAATTTGATTTAATAATATTAGGGTGTCTATTTGAGACAAAATAATATTGATAAAACTTTATGAGAGTATTTCGACGAATAAATGTAGAAAAGGATTTTGGATGTAATTTGATGCATTTGGCAGACTACATTCTGTATATTAACTGACACAAAGATGACATTACTGATGAAACTTATATCAATTATAATTTACAATCAGAATTCACGTAAACTAAGTTACAACTAAAAACTTACATATAGTACTCTGGGCCTGTGCCTATTTTCACAAATTTGAAGATCTCTATTTTTGATAAAATAAATTGAGAAACCACTGCAGAAATGAAGAAATTCGGATGCTTCCTATTTAATTTCTCAAAAATGGTATTTATATCAATTGAGCACCAGGTTATTCATATCCAAGTGATATTGTAATTGATATATCAATATTGTGAGTCATAACTTAATAATTTTTTTTTTTATATTTATTTGTTATTTAACTTTTATTGATATCAAATATAGTTTTAACATTTTGATTAATCTATCTTTTATTTTAGTAGTTCACGTTTTAAAATTGAAATTAAACAATTTAATGTTGCTGACAGTGAGTGATTCGATAGAAAATTGCACTAGAAAAGAAACTCTTGGAAACTTTTTGTTGTCTTCTCCGACATTTACGTTCACCTGTCTTGTCTCGATGGCTTCTGTTTGAAGGCTGGGTAAGCTACTTGTCCTTATCTGCTTTGATATCAACATTATAATGAAGAAAAGAGACGGAACTCCTTAACGTAGTCGATAGAAACATGTGGCACGCGCCGTTCCATTCGGTTACTGAACGTTAAGGGGAGTGGACGGTGTTCCGTTTACAATTTCGATTGTTCGCGCTTCGATCGTGTTTTGACAGTTTGAAGATCAAAGTTATTCTTAAATGTTCTTAGGAATTTGTCATTTGTCCAGCTATTGCACGCAGTTTGAAGGCCAATGTTGTGTTGACTGTGTATAACTTGTGAAAATTAAATTTGACTTGACTGTTTAAAATTTTTTACTTGCGTGAAATCATTAGAATTGCGAGTGTCGACAATTTTGTGAATAAACAACAGCGAAAGAAGTAACCTACATCCTGGGTGCGAAGAAAACGCCGGGCCGAAGTGAAAGTTTAAACTTCACTGTTTGTGTCGCATTTGGAGTTTGCAGAGTGCCATTTAGAGCAAACATTTCGTTTGAGCATCCACAAATTTTTTGGTGCCGTTAAAATAATTGAAAAAGTTCCGGACGCTTATGGGAAAAATCGCAGCTGCGTGACCCGAAACTGTGTTAGAAATAAACGATTTGCCGCGAGATTTATCTCCTCTTTGAAGTCCGATACTGTAGAATGATTAATAACGCGTATGTGAGGATGCGATTTGGGGAGCGTTAAGAACTTAAGTTTTCCTGAAACATTTCCGGGCTTTATGAGGGAGAGAAGGTCTTTACCGATAAGCAACGAAGTGGCGCTGAAGAGTGATAAAGATGGAACTGGGAAGTTGGTGGTGAACTCTGTTATATGTGGTGTGGTAGATGAACTGTCTAGTGGCCGGACTGGTAGAAGAGGTTCGTGGGTTCGTCACGCAGTCATGGGAGTGCTACGGTGGAAGGATTTGACTGGCGTCAGGACTAGTACACCAACTGATCAAAAAGAGGTAATGTAAATATTATTAATAAGGCAATAAAATTTTAGTACCTTCATAGACAGATATATCGATTTCCATTAAATGTTCAAATGCGTAAAAAATTATACAGGTACCTATGCTTACAACATATTGTAAATACACATTGATTTATATTCAACAACCAAAATCGAATTAGAAGATTTATTACTAAAGCCTTTTATGCTTTATTATTTATGGTCAGCGGACCATTGTTAAAAGTGAAATCAAAATTAATCAATTTTATTGAAGATTTTTTTATTTGTTTACTTTACTCGATATTTTTTATTATTTCTAGTTACTTACTCCATTTTATAAACTTAAATGATTGCTATACTTCTTTCGTATGCAAATTTATTAAGATTGTGTAGGTAATTGTCAAAGCAAGTGCCAAAGCTACACTAAGAATTAACATAGCAAATAGACACTAACAATTACATCAGCGATGATGTTATTCATGACTAGTTGAACAAGTAGTACCTCTATGTATGTAACATTAGAAGATTTTTATATTGTAAGGAAATGAATCAAACGTGTCTCAGAAATAAATTGAATAAAACAACTGATAAGCCATTTACATAAAATGAAAAATTCCACTTATGTAGTAGTGAAATTATTTTTATTCTTTGTAAATGTACATTTGTAAAATGTAGAAGAAATATATTTATAATGTTACCTTTTATTATATTAACTCGTATCTATTCACTTTCTACGAAGTCTACTATTCTGTAATCCTAAATATCTATATTCCCATAATTTCTTCTTTACCGAGTGATACATCTTCTGTCTATTGTACACTGCTTGTATTATCAGAACTTCTTATTAAGTGGGTCGGCATCGACAGTTTTATTTATTTCTTATGATAATGACTCGGATATCGTCTCCATATTATCACATTTGACTCGAAAACTCGTCTCACCGCTTATGAATCACAAATGTTATGTAAACATTGAAGTGACACATCGTGAAAATCTCGCTTCGGTCATGTCCGGAATATCGTTAGTGCCAAATTTCGAAAGCATTTAATTTTTTTTCTCGAAGATTTTGTTATTTTGAATTTTATTTACTTGGCGATAAGAATTTTTCTACCACTTGTGGGTATAATGAGGCTAAGGCCACCGCGATTGATTTGTGGTTTCACGACCACAGTTTTTCCATTTTGGATTTTACTAAGTACGAGTATAACTACTATTATCAGGTTCTAATATTTCAAATAATGCTTATTAATCACTCATGACATATTCAATATCAAAATATATTTTCATTGATACAAAAATATCACATTTTAATATTGTTGTTATTAATTGAATTTTTTTTAAATTAATGATTATAATGACTATAAATACTATAAGTATGTTTGTTAGTTATAGATTTTTAGATATTTCAACTGTAAATTTACATAGGTATCTGTTGTCACGTGTATAACAGTAGTTGTAATAGCATTTATTAATTTCAATAACAATTAATGAAACAATGCAATAAGGTATTGTTAATTTAATATCTATTTTGTTAATTTTCAAGATAAAATTAAATAAACATGTTTATACCATATTTGAGTAAAGCTGCTTATTAGCGTTAGCTTTATTTTATCGTTCTATATTTTGTATATTAATATTTTAAACACAGGTAAAACTTTATTTAATTTAATTAATGTTATTAATTAAATGTGTATGTTACAATAACAATCAATTAATTACGCAAGTATTAAACACCGAAAATGATAAGTTTGTTTATTGTGCGAACTGTACTAAAGTTAGTATGTAGTACCTATTATATTAATTAATAAATAAATATATATAATATACATAAATGAACATTTACAGAACGACCGTTAGTTATTAGTTATTATTTATAAATCTCGTTTATATTCTCGTTCTCGTCGTATGTGTTTTATAATTATTCTAAGAAAATTCTATTATTACATTAATATCCTACTCAGATATTAAGATACTGACAATATCAATTCTTCTAATTATTTATATTTCAAATCTATTTATAATTATTGAGTGCCAATATTCTATACATATGTAACGCACACATCTTTTACTTTGCTCACTCATGCATTCATTGTTCCGGAAATTCGATTTCTCTTTCAGACATATATTATAGAATCTATTTAATCATGATAATTCACTTTGCGCTGTTAATCTTACATCCGACGTCCATCACGCGTAAGACTTTAAATGTAAAAGTTTGAAAATATTTTCAAAGACATATTTTTGCAATCGATTTGTTGCCATTCTTTGAACAAAAAAAATTATTAATTACTTATATTTATCTTCAACTTCGGCATTACTGTTGTTGTGAAAAAAAAAATACATTGATTTATGTAGTTCACATCTACTTTTTTGGTTCTTTTACTTAGTTTTTCTGGTAAATGCATTTAAATTCTCTGTCCGCTTCTTAAGGGAAGTTTTCCAGCGATAAATGTAGTATGATAATATCGGCCCTCAGTATTATTTTAAAGATTTTGGCACATTACCGACCATTCTTATTTTCTTGCCAATTTCCAAATTTATATATGCTGAATATTGTGTACGCAACTTAGTAATACAAAACAAGAAATAAAGCAATGTAGAAGACTATATAGGTTTCGCTCATATTGACCTTGTTCTTTATCGTTCCCGTAGAAATTTCTAGAAAGTTTTCTGCGGTGGATGCGTACACAGAGGAGTATCTGTGCCAAATTTCAAATATATAAATGTTTTTTTTTTACTATGAGAAAACTCAGTATGTTACGTATTAATTAGATAGTTTAGTAATACTACAGTAAACTGAAATACGTTATAAATGTACTAAATTAGATATACTCTAAGAAAGGTTATAAATATTGCGATAAAAAATACAAATGGTTAAAATAGTTGTTGTGATTGTGAATTATGTATAATATATTCTTAAATTTTAAAATGTTTTCATTTTAAAATTTAAGACAACTTACCTATATATTTATTAGTCTACTAATTTACTAACATTATCTATATGAATGTAAAGGAAAGATATTATTTACTCTAACGTAATTACGTTTAAATAGTTGAACAGATTTGGATGAAATTTGGCAACTAGACATATACTATATTTATACATAGAATGTTTTCTTTCTAATTAACTTGGGTAAAGCCACGATATACAGTTCGTTTGTAATAAAATAGGTACAATAATAAAATTCATAGGTGGTTAATTCCCACAAGGACCTTTTCTTACCTCAACTCGTTCATCATAGTAAGTGTAGCAGGTGGTTAATTCGCCCTTTGCCCCAAATGGGGTTACATAATGAAAAATTACAGCTTTCTCCGGTACTTAATAGGTGAACGGGCTAAAATGAAATTTATTGCGAACGATTTTCTGAACCGCACTATTTCAGTGGCATGAACTTAATTATTTGGTACCTAAATAAAATTTATTAAAAAACTTTCAAGACAAAGAATTTCTAAGTTCCTCTAATTTTTTTTTGTGCTGTGTTATGTTGGTAGCATATTAATTTAGGAAAGTCGAAATATTCTATTTATAAACACACGAGACGCCGGCTTTGAATTCAAATTAAATGCAACTAATTTTTGGCTAAAACATGAATGGGATAAATGTAAAATTCTATTAATATTGCAGTTACGGATATTAATTTAATAATTGTTATCTAGGTACAAAGCAATAGAAATATAGTAATTTGAGATTAGATAATATTATTTACTTAGTGATAGGCATCATTAGTATTGTTTGTTCTTACCCAAACGACAAAAGAAATGAAACATTTGTTCGTTTATTCCATTTTAACTCCTTAAATATAGTTTACTTTTAATAGTATATAAATACGAGTTAAACTTAAGTTGGTACTTACTTGAAGTGTGATGTAATATATTTTTATCTGTAATATATATATATATATATATATATATATATATATATATATATATATATATATATATATATTTATATTCAGTACATTTCGCCATATCTAATAACATGCAAATCTTTATAGGTAGTATTTATAATTTAAATATATTTTTTTATATTATAATATTAATACCATATTTTAGTTTGTAATTTTACTACCGTAACAATTTTTAGTGACTGAATTATTACTTTTTAATGACTATTTATTTTTTTATTCCAACGATTAATATTTTATAGTATAATAAAATACTGTAAGTTAATACATAATAGTAATTGTTATTAGGGATAAAATTGTGGGTCATATATTTCTCTAGTGAATATACCGTGCATTTCTGTGCCGCACATAAATGACTCGTAAATCACGCTGAAGATCAAAGTGTCCCTATTACATCATAACGTGTGTGCAAACCAGTGTCTTCTTTAGGGATGTGATTATTGTGTTTAATAATGCATTTTATTACTATACGTGAACATAAACTGTGTTTGAAGAAAAAAATAGTATTATTTTAAAAGATATATTCTAATATTTTTATTAGAATATATCTTTTAAATATATATTTTAAATATATATCTTTTTTATTATTATTGCTTGCTCGATATATCTTTATTATTTTTATTAAACAAAACGTGTCCATAATTTTATACTGAAATTAATATTAAAGAAGATGTAGTGTTTAACAATTCATATATGAGAATATATGACATATATTAACAATATTATTCTAAACTAGCTTTTCCACTGCGTACGAAGGTATGCGTGATTTCAGACGTAGGAAAACTAGAAATGGTATGACGACATGAAGTATATCAAGATAAAACATACACCAGACTTTAAAAAAGATTTTATGTATACAGTACTCAAGTATGAAAATCGCAATCAATTTGATGCAGTAGTTACTGCGTGATGCCGTGATGCGACAAACATACAGACTGACGGACAGATACAAAGTTTCTGAAAAAAAAAATTGTTTTGGCCTCTATTAGTCTTATAAGATAGTCAATGAGACCTCTTATATTATTTTTTCTTCCATATCTCCCATGCAAAATCGTTTAACTAACTTATAACAAGTTTATTATAATAGGGAGATATGTGAAAGTCTAAAAGA